AAAAAAAAAGGAGCCAGAAGGGCATGCAGTCCAACTCTTGGAGTCTAGGACAAAACCCTCTAGCAAGGAAATGAGTGATAAGATATTGGCCACTTTGTCATCCCTCAGCCCTTCTCAGACCAAGGTCCCAAACAAGTCCATTGATGGAAAGACACAAAGGGCAATAAAACAAAACTTTTTCAAGAATAAAGAGAATAATCTAGGAAACTTGTCTCTTAAAAGTTTGCTCCCCCCCACCATAAGTCRGTCTAAAACAAATTCTAGAACCACAGCAAGCATCATTCCTAATGTATCACAAGAAAAGTATAGCAAATTGCTTTCCAAGGAAGGGAAAAGGAGGTTCTTGCATGTAAGCTCGCATCCCAACCACTTAACAACAACCTATGGATACTTATAATGGAGTTCCACAAACTACTACTATCGTTAGGAAAGCTACCCAACCTGGACCCTCTTCTACCTTAGATTTACAGTCTCCCACTTAATCATTATGCCTGCTTTTTTTATAAACAAGTACATGCACCTGCAACCCACTTTGGGCCATCATGATTGTATATAGAGCTAAAATAAGGCTCTTAAACCCTGTGCTTGCATGTGGTTGAACCATGGAGGTCATAAATATTTGTCATTTAAGTTGTATTTAAATAATTTCTTGATTTATTATGTGGTTTAGTAGTTTCTAATTAAAATGTAGCTACATAATATTTTGGAATTAATTATTTATAAATACATTGTACATGTATATATTACATATCTGGGATAGACATTGTTAATGACCTTTTTATTGTAATATATGTATTTGGTTATTTATTTTTATTACCTAAACAACACCGGTTGTTGCAGAGCAATTGGCTTGCTTTGCTAGGGTAAAGCATCTAGATGTTGCCTGGCTGTTGCAACTACACTTATTTCTTATCAGGGGTTGCTTCTGGAAGAACATTAAAGTCAGGAGGGTTTAGACCACTTCCCAGTTTATCTCCTGGGAGATAGTCTGATCTTTGAGTGCTCTTGTACTATATTGGTCTTATCCTAAATTAGAAAAAATAGATGCAAGGGGTGCAGACAGGTTTATGGATCAATATATCAGATCATTAAGATCATTTGACTTGGCTGATATTTTTTGACTTATTAAATAGTGGTGTATCCCAAAATCCACCTGCTAGAATGTCCCCTAGGTGATTAGTTTGATTGTTGATAGATTTTGTGCAAATTTCTTTTATCCTAAACATATTAAAAAAAAGATGTGTGGGATCCAGACAAGTATATGGATCAGATGATTAAGATAATTTGACAAGGTTGTTCTTTTTTGACATATTAACTAATGGTGAATCCCAATGTCCTTATCATATTGCATGTCAACCATTTTATCACAGTGCTGGGGAACATTTTATATGAATACATTCAATCTTCTAAATCCTTCTGAATTGTTATAGGTACTAATTGCTGATGGAGTCGAGTTTGTTAGAAAGGTGGCAATTGGGGCATCTTCTAAGGTGAATGCTGATCTTGAAAATTTTGATGCTCTTTCAAAAGAACGTCCTACTKTTCCTAATGGGAGTCCAACTAAGTCACCTGCATGTGGCAAGAGCAGTYGTAAAATTGACATTCTAGTTGTTGATGCCGACTCTTCAGACTCAAGGTAATAGTTGTTGTTGAACGTATTTTCAAATCACTTTCTCAATCAAGAAGCAATTGTTTTTGATGTGCTATTTCTTGTTTTCTTATGTGCAGCTCTGGAATAACCTGTCCCCCTGCTGATTTTGTGGAAGAGTCTTTTCTTTTATCTGTGAAGGAATCCCTTTCTGAAGGAGGTCTCTTTGTTATTAATTTGGTTTCAAGGTCCCCGACCATTAGGGAGATGGTTGTTTCAAGGATGAAAGTGGTAAGAATAGAACTAATCCCCAACAATAAGGTATCAACAATTTGAGCAACCAGCTCAATTGGGTAGTACACACCATGACTTTAAGTRTTTTTCTCCTACTTGTCCACCCAAGGAAAGAAAAGGGAGGGAGGGAATCATTGTGCCATTTTYCCTAAAATATTTCCTTTGCCAAATTATAATCAGTTGAGATTTTGTACCCAACTGATAGAGCTTTTGCTAGCTGACTATAATGTTTTCCATCTGTCTGGAAGAATATATATAGAGCTTTGTTTTTAATTTTATTTATTTATTATTGAAGATCCACATGAAACCTCTACCACTTGATGGGTTGCACCTTGTTTTTGGGCATGGATGGTTAATACCTAATTGGTTAGGGTGGGCTTTACAGGACCTCTTGTTATGAAGAAAAATCCTGTGTGAGGACTGAGGTAGTGATGATGCTTCAGACCCGAACAATAAGTTTCCTTAAGTTGCTGGCTAAGTTATAAGTTAGCCAAGTGGTCAGCTACTTATTTATTCTCTTTATGTATATTTGAACCAACAACATAATTCTACCCATTCATTTTTGATTCTCCAATTGAACTCTGTAGTGTTAAAGTGATTTTACAAAACAGTTGAAAATTACACCTACAGTAATTCAGATAATGCAAGAAAAGA